CATGTAATGATCTGCTAGAGGGTGTGGGGAGCCACAGCCCCGTCCACCAGGGCATGAAGCAGGTATGGAGGAGCTCAAAACTCCAGACCAACACAAGGAGACCAAGGAAGACCAACAGAGGGGCAGTCCTCTTCACTCTCTGTTGCACATTTAAAGCGATCTTGGGAAGTGGCCAAATCCTCATGTGACACAAGTGGGCTTTTATGTCCATGGGATACTCTGACCGCAGAGCGAAGAATGACATGAGTTGTGAACAAATTTATTCGTAGGATGTTACAGCTCTAAAGGTAGGCAAGGTGCTGTTATTTTTTTTCTTCTTCTAGAACTGGATATTAAAAAACACCATGCAAAAGAAGAAGAAAAAAGAACTGGAAAGCGAACTGTCCTCCTGAACACGCTATTGTATTTTTAACCATTCCACAAAGATTAAACCTGGCTAAATTATAAGGTTTGGTTACCATTTATTGTTTTGGCACCCCTAAAAACCATCTTTTATGTTCATTTACTGAAGCATAATAAATGTTTTTGTTTGTCAGATGATCGTAAATACCAATAGATTGTGAGGAATGTGTGTGAAATGCCATACTGCCTTAACTCAGGCCAGAATCCATATGTTTGTGCTCTCAATCACTCCTGAAAATTCCTTTTTCTGAGCCATGAAAAAAAATTGTTGTGGGATTTTCACCTTGGACTTTGATTTTGATGCAACCCCCATAGAGTACCATTTCTAAAATAAGTCACACATTAACCGCCTTGACTGCCAGACCAATCAGCTTCAGTAATGACAGCTGTAAAGCTGCATCTTTAGGTTTTATCTTTATGAGTTTTGAAACACTGTGGTTTTCTTGCAGATTTGAAACTGTAAAAGTCATGCTTCTCTTGGAATTTTTAGCTGGGAGCATTTCAGGTAGGAAAATCCTGTTTTTAAGAGAACAACAGAAAATGTAACACAGAGCAGTAATTGTCTGATTGTGGAGAAATAAAATGTTGTTGTTGGTTGTTGTAGGTGCACTGGGAATTGCAGTAGGACATCCGTTAGACACTGTGAAGGTTGCATTACACTTTGAAACCAATAAATATGACTTAATGCACAAATTGTTTCTTATTTTTTATTTTACATCTCTTCTTACATTTGTAGGTACGTCTCCAAGCCCAGTCTGTGTATAATGGGATATTTCACTGTGTGATTAAAACATACTCTCATGAAGGGGTGGGTACCACATTTTTCCTACATTGTTTTGCAAGAAATACTGACGTGAAGTAGTGTAATGCTCCACTGGGATAAGACAGCACTGATCCTTTATGCTTTAATCACATCAGCTCCATGGATTCTTTAAGGGCATGGCATTTCCTGTGCTGACCACTGGCATCACCAACTCCGTTGTTTTTGGCTGTTACAGTAATGCTTTAGGTTACCTCACTAAGTCTCAGCGCAGTCGAGGCAAACCGGCCTCTGCTGCACAGGTCTTCACTGCTGGCTGCTTCTCAGGCCTGGTGCAGGTAAGATCACCTGATGTTCTGTGGTTGCACATGTCACTGCCATGCAACTGTGTATGCACAAAGCTTCATCTGTTAGAGCTGCAGGAGACCACACACGTTGCAAAAATCACTGTTCACACCAACATTCTAGCTGCAAGCCACGAGATACAAACATACCTACAGAAGAATCTCAACCAAGTCCGTTTGAAGTACTTTATCAGCCATTACTGCATCAGTGTGACTGCATTAGGACAGACTTTGGCGCTCACAAGCACCTACCACCAGCTTGGGAGTATTTTCCTTTGCTGAGACATGCGCTGTGCAGCAATTTGAAACCTTAACAGTTGCAGTTGCGGTATTTGTCCACCAGGTGGCTCCAACTATTCACAAAGCACATCAATTTTGTGGAAATTCATTAAGCTATTTTCTAACTCTGTTACACAGAGAACAAAAGAAAAAACAAACAAATAGACAAAAAAACTGTATTAAACAATTAAAGCTGGTGCTCTTGCCAAAGTAAATGCTGAAACAGCAGGATTATCACTGCTTTCACAGAAATTCAGGTTTTCTTCATGCAATGTTACATCTGACCACAAGGGGGCCTCCGAGTGTTCACTGACTGCAGCTCAGAACCAGATAAGAGATTTAAGGAAATTAAAAACCAGCTCATGTTTCATAACTGAGATTTATTTACACTGCAGATCATGACTCGGCTTTACGCTACTTTAACCTTCTCCTCTAAAAAAAACCCCTGATGCACCAAGTAATATGGATCTGTTAACAGTACTTCTACTTTAATACAGACTTTCAGCAGTAGTTGTGTATTTTATGTTGCACCAGCCACACTGGCCTATTTTATTTCCAGGGATATAAACACATTTAAAACCATTAAGAAGTTGTTTTTGTTTGTTTGTTTTTGGTGGACTGACTCTTTGGGGCAATCTGTTTTCAGGTGTCGGTTTCTGCACCCATTGACCTGGTCAAGGTGCGTCTTCAGGGTCAAACGACGTCAACACGATATCGCGGACCCGTGCACTGCGTCGCTGTCATCGTGAGGGAGGAGGGGCTCAGGGGTCTGTACAGAGGAGGCCTGGCCCTCACTCTGAGGGACGTCCCCTGCTATGGGCTCTACTTCTTACCTTACGAGGTCACTCGTAAGGTTCTCACTCAAGATGGCAAAGAGCCAGGTCACA